ACTTTTTTTTTTTTTTTTTAATGGTAAAAGGAAAAAAAAAGGCTAAACAACACACATTTGAGGGCAAATATAGTTTTCCAGTCTGTGGTTTCTGAGGGCAATTTTTAAAGTTCCTATCTTTTTTTTTTTTTTCCTCGAGGTGCAGAATCAACTCAGGAACCTTGAGGCCATGGCTAAGGATGGCCACAAGAAGAAGGGGGAGCTCAAAGCTATCAGGACAAGGCGAGGGGCTATTGTGCCAATGTCAGGGAGGATCGTCCTGAGCCATAGACTTTCTTGGGTACCAGACCAAGACCAGTGGGTCAGCTGGGTGCCCAAGGACTGCAGATCTTTGACCCTAGTGCTCCCAGTAAACACACATGGCCCATCTGACACATGGCCACAAAGAAGCCTGAAAAAACTCCAGCAGTCCCTACAAGTCTAGGCTTCTGGCAAAATAGGGCAGAGGTTTCATAAGATCACTTTGACTCTCCCCAACCAGGAAGTAGGTACTATCATTACTCCCATTTTTTTGATAGATTTGCTAGAGGGCATGTATACTTACTGGAAAGAGAGAAACACAGAGACAGACACAGAGAAAGAGAGGGAAACTGAGAAAGTACCCTGAGACGGCCATGTTGAAGTCCCTTCTCCTCCATTTCTCCTTTGAGGATTTGGGCACACACATGCACCTGGTGTGTTTTTCAAGCTGCTAGGTCCTAGACTCGAAGTATGTACTCAGCTATGTGGGATCCAGCCACCTTAACCACCATGGCACCCTCACTGACCCTCACTACTCCCATTTTACAGGAAGAAAAACCAAGGTTCTAAGAGGTTAAGCCTTGCCTAAGTAACTTGCTTGAGGTCACATGACCACTAAGCCATGGACCTAGGATTAGAACTTGGGTCTGATGGAGCCTTGCAGAGCCCTTATTCTTAACCACTCGGCTCCATGGTCTTCCAGGAGCAGCAATGTGACAGAGCAGCCACAGTCAGAAGGTGAATCTGGACTACGTTAGGAAGAAGTCACCATGAAAGTGAGGCAGGGTGTTCCCCACCCGCCCCATGGTAGGTTTTCCTTAGAGAAACCATGTTCAGAATATCAAAGCCAGAGTCTGTGTCAAACTGCCATGAAGCTGACAGCCAAGAGCACGCAGGAGCACGCACAGGTACCTAACCGTCTACCCTCCCTTTTTCCATCCACTCCCACCATGGATCCACCCAATAATCACAAGGCAACATTTATGAGCCCCAGGTGGGAGGCTGGGAGATGAAGGCTCGGAGAGGAAATGGCCTCCTACAGCTGCATAGGTAGCCAGTGACACAGCCAGACTAGAATCCTGCCCCCAGACTCCTGATCCAGCTGCTCCCCGCGATGATGGTGGTGGTAGCGGCAACCCCAGTTCTCCCTGGAGAGCATCTCATCCAGGTACTGTCATTACTGTTGTTACGTCCACTTTACAGATGAGGAAGTTGAGGGGCAGAGTGGCAATGAACCAGCCAAGGTCACATAGCTAACGAGGAGTGTCAAGTTGGTTTGAACCCAGCTCAAGGCTCACATGCTTGACCACGTCTTCACAGCGTGGAGCCCTCTAGAGAGCAGCTCAGAGACCTGGAGCTCAGAGGAATCCCCTGAGAAAGTTCCAGAAAAGATCTGGCAGCCAAAAAGTTCAAGGACAAAACTTGAGCAAAGACCAGGGGCTATTCTGAATGCTGAAATCATCCTAGGAGTTAGATGGGCTGAGGGGCTCTCTGAAATGAGGCTGGAGATCTGGGCCTAACAATACTGAAAAGGCTGGGATGTTTCACCCTCAACTTCCCTTCTTAAAAATGTATGTAGATTTGTGAAACAAAGGAAAATGTGTTTTACATTTTTTGTTTAAAGTTTTAAGAGGCTGGGGCCAGGTGGCTTGCTTTCTCTCTCTCTGGTGAACACATGTGCACTATAGCAAATTTAAAAATAATAATAATAACAATAATAATAATAATAAATACAATTAAACAAATCATTCTTTAAAAAGATAGTCTTAAGAGGCTACATGTTTTGATTTTGAAATGTTCAGAAAAGGTGAATCTATGTAAACAGCAGACTGGCGTGCTCTCACAAGAAAAGTGTCAGTTCAGACACTTTGGGGGTGATGAAAATGTTGACAGCTTAGACAGTGGTGATGGGTACCTCACCATCCTAATATATTTACAACCATGGAACTGTGCACCTCAAAGGGATGAATTTTATGGTGTGTGAGTTATGTCTCAATAAAGCTCTTGAGAAAAAACCTTGTTTGCAAAATAAAGTGCCTGGACAGCCCACACTGCAGAAGGCCAGGAAAGGCCGAGCTGCTGCTAAGTTCAGGCCACACATGTGCCCTGCGGGCTGGGCCCAGACCAGTCCCTGGTGCAGCATCTGCAGCCACACTCCTGCTGCCACAGGCCCTTTGCACTGGCTGTTCCCTCAGGTCAGAATGCACTTCCCTCTGCTCTGTGCCAGATCTCAGCTCTAGCACTGCCTTCTCAGGGAGGCTGTCTCTGTCTTCTACAATGACAGAGTCAAAGCCCCCTTATACATGCTCTCGTGGCCACTCATACAAGCCCTGCATGTGCCTCTCCTGCAGAGCCCTTGTCACTCTCCCCACATGATGTGCACACATGGAGCAAATGGGTAGAGTCACCACAAGGGCAAGAGCTTGCCTGTCACCTGGGTGTCTCCAGCTGCTGCCTCAGTGTCCGGTACAAAGAGTGCAAACACGTGGGCAAGGCAGGCAGGCACACGGCAGGCCACAAGGAGACAGAGCTGGCCATGGCGAGCCCTCAGTTAGAGGGCGGGCAGGCCAGAGACAGGGAAGCAATGGGGTGAGTGGATAATAGGGAGCCACGAGTACCAGGATGCCTCCAAGAGGCCCATCCCATTCAGCAAGTGCAGGTGGGCAGGACAAGGTCCTCAAGAAGAGGCTGCCTTTATAGGCTGGAAGAAATGCCACATCTAGAAAATGCCAAGACTCTGCTGTCCCCTGGGACTGTGAACAAATGACAGCACCAGCAACGACACACCAAGCAGATGGCCCACAGGTCGGGCTAAACTCTTTGGAGCTCATAAGACAGAGAAGGGACCTCACCAGGGCAAGGCTGTCTACAGAGCACATTGGGTCCAGAGCTCAGGGACATGATGGCCGACGCAGAACACCCAGGGCACCAGAAGCATGTGGGGATGATGTGTCAGACAGGGATGGGGACCTTGGGGAAGTGAAAGGGGCTCAGACCCAGCCACGCTGAAGATGGAAGTGAGGTGCTGAGGCCAGGAAAGGGGCCTGGGACCTGCATGGAGAGGGGAAGGAGAAGAGAGTGGAGCAGCCTCACACACAGCTGAGGCCAGTGGCCAGTCAATGATGGAGCCCACTCTCCCTGGCTTCTAGAGCCTCTCCTAGACAGACAGACAGACACAGACACACACACACACACACACACACACACACACACACACACACACCAGCTCTGCCTTTCACAAGAAATCAAGCTCTCACTTCCTACCATCCTCCTGTGGGGTGGCCCACAGCAGGGGGTTCTCAGGCTGCCCAGCCCACAGAAGATGGGTGGGCTCAGCACAAGACTCAGGGCAGGAGGCCCCCTGCACCTTCCTGTTCCACTCGTAGGTACATCCCTTCCTAGAGGCATAGGTCCCGGCCCCTGTAACTGGGGGAAGAGGTGCTCTGGGATGGGAGGCCCAGCCTCTGATCCTTGCTACCTCACCTTGTAGCATTTTCCTGAGCCAGGAGATCCTGTCTGCTTTATTAGTGGCCTAGGGTGACCAGGTGCCTCGGGTAATGTCCTTCAGTCTGCTCCACAACAGGCAGTGGCCTCTGTCTCTCCCAGCCTCCCCAGGTACCTGGTTCTGCAGCTGGGTGGATGTGGCTTGCTGGTCACTGTCGCGGAGGGCCAGCCTCTCCCGTAGGATGGCCAGGCCTCTCCCGTAGGATGGCCAGCTCCTCCTGGAGCTGGGCTTTCTCCTCCTGGAGCTGGGCCATGGCCTCCACCATCCTATGCACCACGGGGGCCGCACTTGGCGGCCCTGACAGGCTCGAGCACCTCCCGCTGCCAAAGAGCCGCCCACCTACGAGCAAAGTAGCGGCTGATGAGCAGGGCAGCAGAGGGCCCACGCTGGTGGGGGACAGGGACCCGCATGGCAGGGCAGAGCATCAGGATGGGATGGGGTGGAGGAACTGGACCAGGGCTGGGCCTGGCAGCTGTTCAGATTGGCCAGGGGCCTCCAGGGCCCATCAGAGAGAGCCACCTCAGCCAGCAGCTTTTGGGTGATGGAACTGCCTGGAGCAAGACTTAAGAAAGCATCGTACACTGAATACTCCCCTCCCTTCTTGTGTCCTAGGTCTGCTGGGCTCCCCCACTCCACAGCCAGCCTGCAAGGAACTGTGGCTTCTCACCCCCAACACATATTCTTGGAAGAACATGATTTCTTTAAACCTTGAACACTGAAGAGGGCCAGCAGATGGTGTGGAGATAATGGCAGCTGCATACCCCATGGCCAACTGCATGGTTTGAATCCCTACCGGCAGCTAGAAAAACATGCCAGATGCATGTGCGTGCATGCTCAAAATCCTAAGAGGAGCATGGAGGAGAAGGGATAGAGGTGTGGTCATCCCACCAGAGGGTGATTTCTCACTTTCCTTCTCTCTCTGCCTCTGACTCCAGTGAGTCCACGCACGCTACAGCAGAAGTGTTTTATTTATTTATTTATTTTAAAAGAGCAAAGAGAGGAAAGGGGCTCCCCAGTCTGCCCCTGCAGAAAGTGGCCGCTTGTGTACAGCGCGGTGCAGAGGGACAGCCAGACCAGAACACAGAGCCATACCAGCACATGGGCAGGACTAGCCAGGCCAGCTCCAAGGCTGCCATCTGCTCTCACCTTGGGGAAACAGCACAGAGACCATGCAGGCACAGGGTGGCAGATACTGGGCTGGGGAGTGCCTCGGCCTAAGTCTTCCTCCTCACTCCACCTCCCACTGTCCTGTCACCAGGAGTGCAGGAGTGGGAGAGAAACAGACAGACGGACAAAGGCACAGAATTGGGGCCTGTGACCCGCCAGTGGGGCCTGGGCTGCTTGTCACAGTTTGCTTCCAGGGCACCATGATCAGCCCATCTGCAGAGGGGGAGCTTGCTAGGTGCTCAGGGGGGCAGCCTGGAGCAGAGGAGACAGCGAGGGCAGGGACATGTGCCTCCTTCCCTCAGGCAGTCCGCGTGGGGCCTGGCCAAGTGTCCAAGAGCGAAGAGTGCAGAGGGGACACCTGCTGCCCAGAGAGCCCCCACCTCCCCACCTTGGAGACCCAGGGCTCCTGGGCTTTCCTGGATTCGCAGCCTGGTGTAGGCTGGACTGGGAGAGGCCTGCGGGTAGGCGGGGACATCTCGGCCCTGCCCCGAGAGACACACACACACTTGCACGCCCACATGCACTCTTCCCTTCTTCCCTTCCACCCTCCCAACCCCTCTGGGCAGGGCAGTCTCTGGCTGGCTGGTGACCCTGGCTGTGTGGCCCGCACGTGACACAGCATGCATATCACACAGAGCTGGCTGGAACTCTGCAATCTGTTCTAGAGAGAGGGAGGTCCGACGGATGCTTCCAGGCCTGCACACGGGGCTGGTCCAGCAGCATGTGACCACATGGCCCTCAGCCCCAGGCAGACTGCTGTGCTGTGGTAGGGAAGGCACTGGACCTCGTGCCGGGTCTAAAAGGCCACCGAGAGGTATTGCTGTTACCGCTGGACCACAGCACTGGAAAGACACATCCGTGAGCCCTTGTCACCAGGAAGGTTGCTCATATTGCGGAGGCTCTGAAGCCCGGAGGGTCCCACCCCCAGTGGGGCTCACCCTGACCTGAGCACGGTGTATGTACCAGTTCCAGGAAGCTGACAGGGCTAGGACAGCACTTGGGGGCGGGGTGGGGACAAAGGGACAAGAGAACAGAAAAGAAAGATCTCGGAGAAGCTAAGGGAGGCCTGAGGAAGAGGGAGGCCAAAGTGAGATTGAAGGGGCACATGAGCATGAGGACAAGGGATGGAACAGGGCCCTTGTGCAGATAAGGCTGCACCACTCAGCAGGAGAGAAGCTGAGGGGCACTGGCCCTCACGGGGACTCGGGACGTGGAGGCTGCGGATTCGGCCCTGGGCCCGGGCACAGTCAGTTCTCACTCCTCTCTGGGCTTGGCCTTCTTTCCACGGTACCTTGGCTCCCAAGGAAGAAGCCCACCCAATGAGCTGGAAGGCACCCTCTTCCAAAGCCTGTCTGGCTGCCCCTCCCAGCCAGACCCCAACCCCCACTGCCGAGCACAGGTGTCCCTGGGCCAGACAGGCACACGGCTCTGGTACAGCCTCAGAGAAGGGAGTGGCTCCTTCCACCACACGGCAAGTTCAGACACACAGATTAACCTTTTGGCGACAATGGAAGGAGAGAAATGGAAAGACCAGCTCCGTTTTCCTCATACTCTTGGCCTTCCCTAGGGTTCCTGGAGGATGCTCAATCGAGGGGCTCAGGGTTACTGTGGGGGAAGCCCAGCCTGAATGTGAGACCACAGAGGGCCAGGAGACTCTTCCAGACAATCTCTCGGCCTCGCCCAAGACAGTAGAATCAAAGCCCTGTTCTAGGAGCCTCTGGACCCAAGAGCCCACTCTGCAGGGAGGAAGCCAGGCCTCTCTCTGCAGGTGGTGGCGTCTGGGAGGCTGCCACCTGCGCCCTGCTTTTGACATGGAGCTGGGAAAGACAAAAAACAGGGAAATTCAACCCAGCCCACACTCGCCAAGGCCTCTTATCGCTGGGTGAGGCCCTGGTGGCACTAGGAAGAGGGTGGTGTGGGAGAAGGAGGTGACAGACACATCCCTGTCCCCAAATCCAAATCCAGGAGAGGCAGGCTGGGGTGGCCGGGTTCTGTGTCAGGCAGGGCCACCTCCAGCAAAGGAAGATGGGGTGTGGGTACAGCTTAGACTGCACAGGAGCCACCCCTCCTGCACTAGCTGAGCTGGGCGTTCCGGGTCGGTGGGCAAACCTCCTTTACCTGTTTTCTCTACATTCATGGCACCACCAGCGTCCTGGGCCTCCCGGTCCTGCCTGGGGGCCGGCGCCTGCCTCTTCAGGAGCTTCTCTTCTTTGGTCCCCTGACTCTTGCTCTTGCACCCCTTGTCCTGCAGGGCCTGCTGCCAAGACACAACCAGAATCCTCACGTGAAGGGACTGCCCTGGAGAGGGTCCCCCTCAACCCTGAGGATGGTACATCCCTGCAGCTGGAGAGGACCAGTCCATCACTGTGTGTACAGGGACCACAAAAGGCTGGAAGATGACTTGCCCAGACCCATAGCAAGACAGTGGTGGTACATCCTCCTGGCCACCTCAGCTGCTGGTCCTGCACCAGCCAGGAAGTTCCCAAGCACTGCAAGTCTTCACGTGAAGCTCACTCAGCCATCCCCACAGGCTCTGCAGGGTGCAAGTCCCCAACACCTGCCCACTTTGGGCCCACAAGCCCCATCATTCACAGGTAACGATCCAGCCCACCACACTCACGTCAATCACAGGGCAACACCCCCCAGGATGTCAGCTGCCCCCACCCTCAGGCACACAGTCCCCACCCCAGGATGGCCAAAAAGGCTGCACACACCCATCTGAGCAGGGAAGGGCCGTGGCTCTGCCTTCTTCACTCTCCTACCGCCAGCCCCGACGTGGCTGCCCAGGGGCTGCAGGACCTCTCTTGGCTCAGGAGGAATAGGGGCAAAGAGGTCCAAGGTGGAGCTAGCCAGTGACCAGACAGGAAGAGAGAGAGGAGAGGCAGAAGGAGGAGTTTCATCCTGAGAATCACCGGCAGCTCAAGCAGAAAGAAAGACGTCCAGGTAAGCAGCAAAACCACATGCAAAGCATGATGCCGTTTGATGACAATATAACAGAAGAGGCACAGAAAAAAGCCTAGAGAAATATACAGACAGAGGCTCCCTCTGGGAGGCTGGAGTGATGGTGCTGTGGCCAAGAGGAGAAAAAGCATGGTTTGAACTTTCTGGAAATGAAAAGAAACTTCACAACCAAGAGGCTATGGGAAGAGGCAAAAGGAAGTGGCCTCATATTCTACTTTGAACTTTTCTGGCAGTTGCGTTTTTAGCCTTCTACAGTGTTTTGTTTTGTTTTGTTTTGTTGACACTAAGAGAGCTTATCTGGGAAGAGAGAAGGCAGGCAAGTTTTTGTGTGTGTTTATGCTCTCTGTAGTCCAAAAAAAAAAGACGAATGTTATGTTCTTAAAAATGATCAGTCTAGGGACCAGTAGTTAGCGTAATGGCTATGTTGCTGGACTCCCATGTAGTCGACCGCAGTTCGCGTCCCAGACCTGCTGGCTTAAAACTCATGCTGGGCGCATGTGCATGCGTGCCCAAGATCCCAAGAGGAGAATGGAGGAGAAGGGATTGCGGCATGATCATCCCCCCCCGGGGGGTGATTTCTCGCTTTCTGTCTCTTTGTCTCTGTCTGTCTGGTGAGCGCACGTGCCCTATAGCAAAAACTTCTCCAAAAACAGAAAGATTAGTCTAGGGACCAGCAGTTAGCGTAATGGCTATGTTGCTAGACTCCCATGTAGTCGAACGCAGTTTGAGTCCTGGACCTGGTGGTTTAAACTCACACATGTGCATGCATGCCCAAGATCTTGAGAAGAGAATAGAGGAGAAGGGACTGCAGTGTGGCCATCCCCCCGGGGGTGATTTCTCACTTTCTGTCTCTGTCTCTCTCTGTCTTTCTGGTGAGCACATGTGCCCTATAGCAAAAACCTCTCAAAAAAAAAAAAAAAAAGTCAGTCTAGGGGCCAGCAGGTGGCATAGTGGTTAAGGCACTGGATCCCACATGGCCAAACCCGTGGTTCAAGTTCTAGACCCAGCAGCTTGAAAAAACACGCCAGGTGCATGTGCATGTGTGTCCAAAATCACTAGAGAAGAATGGAAGGGGTTATGGCATGCCATCCCCCCAGGGGGTGCTTTTTCACTTTCTCTCTCTCTCTTGCTCTCTGTCTCTTTCTCTGGTCAGTACATGTGCCCTATAGTGAAAAAAAAAAAAAAAAAAGGCTATCTTGAGTGGGCAAAGCCTACCTGTGAAGCCCAGCTCTGCCTCAAGCAGGCTCTGTGACTGTGGGCAGGTTAATTACCTTCACTGAAGCTGCATCTTCTTCATTCTTAAAATAATGATGCTAACAGCTCCACCTCTCAGAGCTGGCGGGAAGAGTAACTGAGCTAACTGGAGCAGAACACCGGAAGCTGTCTGGCAGCAGGTAAGAGCTGGCTACAAGGTCACCATGATCATGACAGTATTTCTGAAATCTTCTCGGTTTTACTTTGATAATTAGTACACCAATAGATGTGCGAAGGGAACAGCGACATGGGCAGGCCCATTTGTTCAATGCCCTCCTCACTCCCAGCTCTTGTCCCACTTTCTAATTCACAAGGGAGGGTGACCACATCTCTTGTATTTATAAAAATTCCCGCCAATTTGATCTTGTCCCCACCCTTTGACCAAAATGCCACAACATCGTGAGCAGGCGTGTCAGCGGCGGTGGCAACGGCAGCAGCTGGAAGTTTCCGTTTGCTGACCAGAGCAAAGGTTACACTATTTCTAGCTTGTCGGCCAAGCCACGGGAAGGACAGGCAGGCCCCCTGGGGGTTGGGAGTTTCAGGTTTGAACTGCCAGACAAGAGGCGGGGTTCACTAAGCTCACTGGGTCCCCTCACTGTACTCGGGACCCACTTTGGCCCCACCTCCACATATGGAAGCACTTACAGGTGTAATAGAGCATCATGGGGACCCAGAGGACATGAGCGTGGAAGCCTTTCAGAGATTCTCAGGAGATTTGCTGACCCCAGGACTCAGCTGCAACCACAACCCAACACCCCATAATCAAAACTCAAGCACAGAGTCACCACCCAGCTTGAGGCTGCGGGTTTCTGACCACTGCCTTCCAATTTAACTGCTCGAGTCGGAGCACGGACGGCTTCTCTGGTTTCTTTAACTGTTCTCTCACCAGACCTTACAGATCAAAGAATGACCCTTCGGTTTGCTTTTCAAATGAACCACATTGGAAGGGCTGAGAAACACCAGGAAACATAAGCTTGTCCCCTGAGGCAGCCTAGAGCACGGGGCCCAGTTTCAGATCAGGGGTTCGGGACCCAGGTGGCCCCAGACTTTCTTCTGCACTAATACGGATGTTCTGTGTACTTCCCACACTTCGGCCTGCCCACCATTTGCACACATTCCTTCTGTGCAAAACTAGCTTCCAGAAAAGGCCGGATCTGTGCGTGTGGACATCTGGACAGGATGAGGGACTGGAGGCTGGTCCCGTGCACAGCCTTTCTTGGGGGGAGGGCCTTGACAACACCCCCACATAATGCTTGTACTTCATCGTTTGCCACCATGTTTACGGCCCTTGCCTGGATTATAGTCATACACTGCTGATCACAGAGTTCATCTCCGATACCCCTGCTGGATGATCTCATTCATTCCTCTTTTTCATTGCATCCCTACACCTAGCCAGCAATGGCACCCAGTAAGCACTTCATTCCTATCTGAGGAATGAATGCATGAAATAAAATCAGGCGGTGCGGGGGCTGCCTTGAAAATACGCAAAGATGCAGCTGCGTGAATACACAGGTATTTGTTTAAGAGCTCACTGTGGGCCAGCAGGTAGAGTGGTGTTTAAGGTGCTGGACTCCCACGTGGCCAACTTTAGTTCAAGTCCCGGACCTGGCAGCCTGAAAGTCATGCCAGGTGCATGTGCACACATTCTCCAAATCCCAAGAGAATGGAGAAGAAGGGCCTGCGGTGTGGCCATCTACCCTGGGTGGTGATTTCTCACTTTCCCTCTTACTGTCTGTCTCTGTCTCGCTCCAGCGAGCACATATATCCTATGGCAAAACAAAAACAAAAACAAATGAACAAAACCTTAAAAAAAAAAAAAAAGAGCTCACTGCAACCAGAGGAATTCAGAGGATCAGTAAGGTAATCATTTATGATAAACCCTTACGTGGAATATTATGCAGCCGTTTAAAATAATGAGGTGTTATTTTAAACCGGCAAGCAGAAAGAGATCCACAAGACTTACTGTTGCGGGAAAGAGCCAGTCACAGAATAACATGTACAAGTAAATAATAAAAAACATATAAATAGAATGAAGTGTATAGGAAAGATAAATGAATTAACTGCAAATACATAATAGTAGACTTCTCAAAGACAGAAGACTGCATGCGTTCTGTTTCTAAGGACTGCATCTCTGCCCTGTGTGAATTCACGGTTCAGGTCCCAGCTCACTGCAAGACCAGCAGCTAATTACTTAACCTCTCTGAGCCTCTGTGGCCTCATCTATAAAACTCTACAGATAAAACAGTCGCTGTGTTCTGAGACTACTATAAAGATGTGTAAGACATACATAAGGCCTGGCGCAAAATCGGTGTTCAGTAAAGAGTAGCCATGATCACCATGAGTACTGCTGTCAGTACGGATCATTTCTACAGTCAAACGTGCATATTTATGCAAAACTTGTCTTTTAAAAGACCCTCGGTAATAACTGCAGGGGAAAACTAGATTTGGAATCTCACTTCACACAAGGAAATACAAGACGCGTATGCCCGAGTGGGAATGAACAGCTACCCCAAACCTGCCTGCATCCCCAGGACCTTCTCTGGGCTCTGCTCATCTCAGCAAAGGCCCACTCTAACACCTGAGCCAGGGTGTGGCTGAGACACCCCTGTCACTTCCTGTGAGATTTCCCCCGAGATAACTTATTAAGGCGAACTTCTTCGTCCATGCTTGCTCATGGTGGATGCTCCTCCGTGAGGAGCTTGGCGAAGAGGCATAAGGCAGGCCCCATCACTGAAGGCCCAACACTTACCTGCACGGACAGGTAGAGCCGGTGTGGGCTCCCAGAGCCAGCCCAGTCCACGCTGAGGGCTCTGCACTGAGCTAGGGATGGGCGAGCTGTACTACGGCCACCGGAGTCCTCGTCACCACCGGCTGGGCTGTCTTTTCCACGCCCTGTCCCGAGACAGAGAGACAAGTGAGACCCTCAGACCACTGGCAGAAGACAAGTGGTTGTAGACCAGTGGTCAGGGCCATGCTGAGCTCAGCTTTCACATTCCTGGCTGGCCCAGGTGTGACCAGGAGGGACACCGCTCTGTCACCCTCCTGACCTGCCTAGAAGGGGCTATGCTCCTTCCGGGTCAAAAGCTGTCCCGAGATTCTATTCCAGAAGGTGTCCCTGCCGGAGCCCTTTCTCCCCGCAGTGGCTTTTGGGGGCACTTGCATTAGCGCCATGCAGAGAGAAGCAGAGAAAAAGCCAAGTATCTGCAAGCTCAGGGGAGGTGTGTCCGCAGGCTTTATTACCCTGGCTGCCTCTAGGTGGCAATTTCTCCCCTGCCTTCATTAACAGCGACTCACACTGGGAGGCCTAGTCCCTGCCCTCTACAAAGGCACATCCAGGACCAGCTGAAGCACATCTTCAGGTGCCTCTGATGCCCTGCCCCCCACACTAGATGGGACGTCAACACCCATCCACCCACCTCCACCCCCCACCAGTCTGTGGGCCCGGGCGGGGTGGGAAACAGGCACAAATGGCAGGACCACAACCCCGGATGTAATCAAGTCCTGAGTGCGACCACTGGGCCAGGTACTTCCCAGCCCTTATGGCCACGCTTGATCCTCAATTTGCTTGTCTGTGAAACGAAAATAATGAGCCAACTTCACAGCCCTGTGGTGCGAATCAAACGGGAGGAGTTACATAAAGCACCCACACCAGGCCAGGCACAGAAAGTGCCCACAAACACGGGTCGTTGGACCACTGTTGCTATTAGCTCTTTACCACCATCAGGGTTAGGTGGGGAGCGTTCTCCCTGACAGGCAAAGAATGTTCTACATGCCCAGAGTCACACAGCCAATATTTCAGGTCCCAGGCACTCCTCAACCCTCTCCCAGACTATTCCTCTCAGGGTGGCAGTAAAGGAGCCGTAGAGGGGGCAGCTCAGCGCAGCCCAG